GAGTTTGGGCAAGGACACAGGGGCCCCATGATCCCCTATTGCCCGGGGGCCCCATGAGTTGTCATTCCGTCCCTGGTTATTATACTCCCCTGTTCTCTGGTGCTGACCTCCATAAACCTGCCCAGTCATTGACCCACTAATGCCCCTTTTTTTGGGTAAATGATGAGCAGCATCATTTAACTCACTTCCTCTGTGTCCAGGCTGTCATGGGTCCTCCCCTCGCCCCGGACTCACAGGAGACACCAAGTCATCAGAAGGAGCTGACCATCTGCAGCAATTAGGATTGTGCTCAGGTCAAAGATACCTGGAAAAAGGAATGTATGCAGATTTTTTTTTTCTGTGATAGCTACAGACATTATCAAAGAAAGCCTATACATAGGCAAACATACAATCTATCATTGCTGATCTCTCCTTCTGAAAATGAGATTTCTCTGGATTTCATATAACTACAATGGCTTCACTTTTTACCAGTCACTAAGCCAGAACAAGCATACAGGTCAGAGGTCATGACTTCACTCGGTCTTGCTGCATTTAGTTCAAGTTGGTGAAAAGAGACAGCCAGGCAATTAGCATTTCCAGAAATTGCTCTGCAATGGCAGGACAGGTAGAGGTTTCTTTTAACAGAAGCTTGACCTGAAAGACACATGGAAGCTGCTATTGCCTTCTATTATTCTCCATTGGGCTTTGTAGAAAAAGACTTCAATATATAATCATTTATTCCAGGTACCTACAGTGCCTTGAAAAAGTATTCATACCTCTTTACATTTTCCAAATTTTTTCATGTTACAACCAAAAACATAAATGTATTTTATTGGGATTTGATGTGATAGAACACAAAGTGGCACATAATTATAAAGTGGAAGGAAAATGATAAACGGTTTTCATATTTTTTTTTTTTCACAAATAAAGATCTGAAAAGTGTGGTGGCATTTGTATTCAGCCCCCCGGAGTCAGTACTTCGTAGATCCACCTTTCACTGCAATTCCAGCTGCAAGTCTTTTTGGGGATGTCTCTACCAGCTTTGCACATCTAGAGAGGGACATTTTTGCCCATTCTTCTTTGCAGAATAGCTCAAGCTCTGTCACATTGGATGGAGAGCGTCTTTGAACAGCAATTTTCAAGTTTTGCCGCAGATTCTCCATTGGATTTAGGTCTGGACTGTGACTGGGCTATTCCAACACATGAATATGCTTTGATCTAAACCATTCCATTGTAGCTCTGGCTGGATGTTTCGGGTCGTTGTCCTGCTGGAAGGTAAACCTCCACCCCAGTCTCAAGTCTTTTGCAGATTCTAACAGGTTTTCTTCTAAGATTTCCCTGTATTTAGCTCCATCCATCTTCCCATCAACTCTGATCAGCTTCCCTGTCCCTGCTGAAGAAAAGCATCCCCACAACATGATGCTGCCACCACCATGTTTCACAGTGTGGATGGTGTGTTCAGGGTGATGTGCAGTGTTAGTTTTGTGGAAACCATGTTAAATGGACTGTAGTGCGCTTCTGCAAAAAGCAAATGCATTGGTGTGAACGGAGCCTTAGTCTGGGTTTAACACTCCTAACCTCGACATGGAAGTCTCAACAATGCTCAGAGCTTGCTAAAGGCTTTTGAAATGCTCCATAAAAGCTTGCTGTACCCACATGGTTCTTCTACAGGCTGAAGTGTGCAAAGCCTTACGATGGCCATACATTATACAATTTTCGATTAGGATCTACCAAAACCATACAATAGAAGTCAAACCTAAACACTTGCAATTTGTATGCAATCAGGCCGACCCTTCCACTACATAGTTGAAGGCAAATCTATAGAAAATTGAAGAAGAAAATTAGGCTGCTTTCACACTAATCTGCTTTTCATACGTTCTTCAGTTAAAAAAAAGCGAAAGAAAACTGCGTCCCTTTAAATCCTCTTCACACTGGTCTGTTGCACTTCAGTTACAATTATTAAAGTTTGGTCTGGTTAAAAAAAAAAAAAAAAAAACAATACATCCCTCCAGTGCAATGAATGGAAACCACATCGAATACTCAACGCACCTGTGGGAGGTTTTCAAGCTCAGGTTCACCGAATCGCATGAGAAGGGAAATCATATTATTTTCAATGGTGCCATTCTAATCAACTCAGCACAGTGCGACTTTGGAAAAGATTCCTGGTGAACTTCAGTGCGATTTCAGACCCATAGACTTCTATGTTATTTCACAGACGTTATATCAGCAGAGATAAGAAGGATCCCATGTGACTTTGATGGATTCAGATTTTTTTAACCCTCACCTCTCCTCCCTGGTCAGCCTTCCATCATAGATTTTGATACAGCTGTGATTTTGGAGCCTTCCTTTGATTGATCGTTCAATATTTTTTTTAGATCAATTGTTCCATTGAAGGAAGAACAATCGATGAAAGGAAGGAGGGATCGATCAAAGGAAGGAGGGATCGATCAAAGGAAGGAGGGATCGATCAAAGGAAGGAAGGAGGGATCGATCAAAGGAAGGAGGGATCGATCGATCAAAGGAAGGAGGGATCGATCGATCAAAGGAAGGAGGGAAGGATCAATCTATCAAAAGGAAGGAGGGAAGGATCAATCTATCAAAAGGAAGGAGGGAAGGATCAATCTATCAAAAGGAAGGAGGGAAGGATCAATCTATCAAAAGGAAGGAGGGAAGGATCAATCTATCAAAAGGAAGGAGGGAAGGATCAATCTATCAAAAGGAAGGAGGGAAGGATCAATCTATCAAAAGGAGTAAGGATCAATCGAACGAAGGAAGAATAGCTCAGTCTATGAAAGGAAGGAAGGATCGATCAAAAGAAGGATCAATCGATGGAAGGAAGGATTTATCAAAGGAAGGATCAACTGATCAAAGGGAGGATTGATCGATAAAAAGGGCCGATCATTTAAAAGGATTGAGCAAAGTAAGTAAGGATTGATCGAACAAAGGAAGAATGGCTCAGTCTATCAAAGGAAGGATTGATCAAAGAAAGGAAGGAAGGAATTATCAAAGGAAGGAGCGATCAATCAAAATAAGGATCGCTCCAAGGAAGGAAGGATCAATCAAACAAAGGAAGAATGGCTCAGTCTATCGAAGGAAGGAAGGATTGATCAAAAGAAGGATCGATCGATGGAAGGATTTATCAAGGGAAGGAAGGATCAATCAATCGAAGGAAGGGTCAATGGATCGATCGAAAGAAGGCTTGATCAAAAGAAGGGTCAATCGATCAAAGAAGGGAAGAAGTGATCAAAGGAAGGAGGGGTGAACTGAATGAAGGATCGATCAAAGGAACAGTCAATTAATGGAAGGAAGTAAGGTTCGATCATTTGAAGAAAGGAGGAGGAATGATAGGGAATTAATTCTGAGAGAAGGAAAAAGGAGATGCCATCCCAGGAGAAGGATGGTGGGGAATCTGCCCCAGTATGGGTACAAGTGGGCGCTGGTTCCAGTATGTAAATGGCAGGGCAGGCGGTTCCAGTATGTGGACGGGAAGGCAGGTGGTCCCAGTATGGGGATGGGAGGGCGCCGGTCCCGGGATGGGGACAGGGAGGGGGGGGGGTTTGGATCCCGGTATGGAGACGGGAGGGCGCCGGTCCCGAGATGGGGGGGGGGTTTGGATCCCGGTATGGAGACGGGAGGGCGCCGGTCCCGGGATGGGGACGGGGGTTTGGATCCCGGTATTGAGACGGGAGGGCGCCAGTCCCGGTATGAAGATGGGAGGGCGCCGGTCCCGGGATGGGGACAGGGGGGTTTGGATCCCGGTATGCAGACGGGAGGGCGCAGGTCCCGGGATGGGGACGGGAGGCCGCAGGTCCCGGGATGGGGACAGGGGGGTTTGGATCCCGGTATGCAGACGGGAGGGCGCAGGTCCCGGGAAGGGGACGGGAGGGCGCAGGTCCCGGGATGGGGACGGGGGGGGGGGGTTTGGATCCCGGTATGGAGACGGGAGGGCACCGGTCCCGGATGGGGACGGGGGGGGGGTTTGGATCCCGGTATGGAGACGGGAGGGGCACCGGTCCTGGGATGGGGACGGGGGGGGTTTGGATCCCGGTATGGAGACGGAAGGGCACCGGTCCCAGTATGGAGACGGAAGGGCACCGGTCCCAGTATGGAGACGGGAGGGCACCGGTCCCGGGATGGGGACAGGGGGGTTTGGATCCCGGTATGCAGACGGGAGGGCGCAGGTCCCGGGAAGGGGACGGGAGGGCGCAGGTCCCGGGAAGGGGACGGGGGGGGGTTTGGATCCCGGTATGGAGACGGGAGGGCGCCGGTCCCGGAAGGGAACTTTTTGTAATTGGCATTATTTGGTAATTGGTTTTATTGGAGGATGTCACCCCTGACATACAACCATCGTCACCACAACCCACCTAACGGACACAGACTACGCAGGTATAAACAGGAGGCTATACACGGGAATAGTAGTCCACATACGGAAACAGAAGTAGAACCACCCATGGCAGACAGGACACGTACCACCATGGTCCCAATGAGGAGAGTATTATATAACATTCCTCTCAATAATACGACCTGATAAAAGTCTACCTAACTGTCCGGACCGGGACCGCTGAGTCCTCCTGCGTTGCAGTACCACCTAGAGGCCGTTATAACGTCTCTCACAGTGTCCCTCACCGGCTTCCGTCTTTAGTATCAACACTTCGTTCCCGCCCACCCCGTTTTCTGTTTGCCTCTCTGGCCCCTCCGCCAATCAGCTTCGGAGAACGCCTCATCCGGTGTGCCCCGCGCATGCGCAATGTCACCGGCGCGCCATCTTGACAGAGGGAGCCGCAATCAAACCCACTGGATCTGTGCTGGCAAGCGGCTTCTCCCTCAGAGGGCCGGGGGGGCTTTCATCGCATCCCGCCGCGAGCGTCTCCCCAGGACTCCCCGGTGTCCTGTCATTGGTCTGCTCCTGACAGGACGGGGTGTGGCCTCCTGCTGTTACAAGGACCCCCTCTGCTGAGTGACAGGGTCTCTGCGAGTGATGCCTTCCAGGCCTGAGTGACCGCAGAGGACGCCGGGACAGGATGCCAGTGGTGTGGCCCACCCTGCTGGACTTCAGCCGGGATGAGTGTAAAAGGATCCTTCGCAAGCTGGGTAACTATTCCCCCATTCTCCCTTCTAGTCCCTGCTCAGTGCGCATGTGCGGCATGTTTGTGTATAAAATGGTGGAGGACACGCCCCCCGAGTGACGTGCTGCATGGCTGATTTTAGACACTGGCGATGTGTTCGTGACTCCGCCGGCAGGTGGCGCTGTGCTCCCTTCTCTTCTATGAATACATGTCCCTTCAGGGAGGTGATGAAAGAGAACCTGTCGCTGAGGCAATAACCCCGGGTTCCAGGCTCAGGAAAACCAAGTTGTGATTGATAAAGGACCTAATGATGACTGCATGGCGGCTTTTCTGTAAAGCAATTATAATGCAAAGCTGCCGGCTTCATACATGTGCTTTGTGATTCAGTGCTGGAAAGCAGGCATGGCACCCTGTGGAAGGATGCAAAGTCCCAAGGCACCCCGCTGTGAATTGTGGGAAATGTAAATGTTACAGATCCATGGGGAACCTGAGCCTGCGGCATGCACACAATCAGCTGGATGAAAGTACTTTCATTAGAGACCCTATTTACGTTGGAGGACCCCCCCCCCCACCGGCGTTTACATCGGAGGACCCCCCCCCCCCGGCGTTTACGTCGGAGGACCCCCCCCCGGCGTTTACGTCGGAGGACCCCCCCCCCCCTGCGTTTACGTCGGAGGACCCCCCCCCCGGCGTTTACGTCGGAGGACCCCCCCCCCGGCGTTTACGTCGGAGGACCCCCCCCCCCCGGCGTTTACGTCGGAGGACCCCCCCCCCCCGGCGTTTACGTCGGAGGACCCCCCCCCCCCCCCTCGTTTACGTCGGAGGACCCCCCCCCCCCCCGGCGTTTACGTCGGAGGACCCCCCCCCCCGCGTTTACGTCGGAGGACCCCCCCCCCCCGGCGTTTACGTCGGAGGACCCCCCCCCCCCGGCGTTTACGTCGGAGGACCCCCCCCCCCCGGCGTTTACCCCCCCCCCCCCGGGCGTTTACGTCGGAGGACCCCCCCCCCCCCCTCGTTTACGTCGGAGGACCCCCCCCCCCCGGCGTTTACGTCGGAGGACCCCCCCCCCCGGCGTTTACGTCGGAGGACCCCCCCCCCGGCGTTTACGTCGGAGGACCCCCCCCCCCCCCCGGCGTTTACGTCGGAGGACCCCCCCCCCCCCGCGTTTACGTCGGAGGAGCCTCCCCCCCCCCCTCGCTTTACGTCGGAGGAGCCTCCCCCCCCCCTGCCTCGCTTTACGTCGGAGGAGCCTCCCCCCCCCCCCTCGCTTTACGTCGGAGGAGCCTCCCCCCCCCCCCTCGCTTTACGTCGGAGGAGCCTCCCCCCCCCCCCCTCGGTTTACGTCGGAGGAGCCTCCCCCCCCCCTCGGTTTTTACGTCGGAGGAGCCTCCCCCCCCCCCCTCGCTTTACGTCGGAGGAGCCTCCCCCCCCCCCTCGCTTTACGTCGGAGGAGCCTCCCCCCCCTCGCTTTACGTCGGAGGAGCCTCCCCCCCCCTCGCTTTACGTCGGAGGAGCCCCCCCGCCACACCCCCCCCCCCACCCCCCCCCCCCCCCCCCCCCCCCCCCCCCCCCCCCCCCCCACCCCCCCCCCCCCCCTCCCCCCCCTCGCTTTACGTCGGAGGAGCCTCCCCCCCCCCTCGCTTTAACGTCGGAGGAGCCTCCCCCCCCCTCGCTTTACGTCGGAGGAGCCTCCCCCCCCCCACGGTTTACGTCGGAGGAGCCTCCCCCCCCCTCGTCCCCTAATCCTGAGTCTCCACTTCACAGGACCCTCCAGTCAAAGAGCCCCAGACACATAGTCCCCCCCCCCCCCATCATATCAGAGTCACATGTTTTGACTCCAGCAGCGTGGCAGAGGGGGGGAAGTGGAGGAGGCAGACTCCGTCTTCTCCTGAGTGCCCCTTGCCCTGGATAGATCAGTCAATCTTGGAAATTTGTACTATTTTGTGCTGTGGGCAACCATTGGATGGAATTGTGGAGACCCAATAATTGTAAAATGTGCCACGTCCTAATTATATCTCATTAATGACATTAACAGAGCCATGGACTTCATAGGTACAGAGAGACCGACGTCTGTAAAATATAGATCAACTTTATTACATGAAAACATTGGACGTACTCTAGCTGCCAGGGAACTCGGCCTACTCTCCTCCAATGGTCAGACTTGTCCTGACACCTCGACTGGGAAGCCGCCCAATTTGATCTTCTGTTTTACGTTGTGGATGGATCGCCCCTATAGAAGCCTTTCCAGTGCGTTTCTCTAGCCACAGAGGCAGTTGAGCTTTCATGGTTTTAAGTGACTCGGCACTGAAGGAAGCTGCTGACGAAGCCGATCCACACGATCCACAATATGTGCTATTAAGTGACGGAGAAATGTTATGATATTGAAAGGCGGAAGGCTCAGTTACTTGAATTAGTATAGTCTGTGTCCTACTAAAGGTGCTTTTTATTTAAAATCTTTTTCGCTGAGTCCAGTGTTTTTAATTATGTGATAAATTGATTAACTTTATTTCCAGTACTTATATAACGCTGTCAATTTATGCAGTCCTTTACATATATATTGTACATTCACATCAGTCCCTAACCCTCAAGGGGCGTACAATCTAAGGTCCTTAACTCACATTCATACATACACATACTAGGGTCAATTTAAACAGTATCCAATTAACCTTTCAGCATGTCTTTGCAGTGTGGGAGGAAACCAGAGTACTCAGAGGAAACCCACGCAGGCACAGGGAGAACATGCAAACTCCAGGCAGGTGGTGCCGTGGTTGGGATTCAAACCAACGACCCTAGTAAAGTTGTATTCCCATGCCCATCTCCAGGACTTCTCCAGGGCTTCCCCCATCCTCTGGAACTCCCTACCCCAATCCATCAGACTATCACCTACTCTCCTCACCTTTAGGCGCCCTCTGAAAACCTATCTCTTCAGGGAAGCCTACCCAACCCTCTGCTAATTACTGAACTCCTCCACTCTCCCTACCACTCCATCCCCCACAGCTATTTCCTTCTGTACCACTATCCCCCCCTCCTAGATTGTAAGCTCCAAGGAGCAGGGCCCTTGAGCCCCTTGTGTATTGATTCGTATTGTTACTGTACTGTCTCGTGTATTGTCTCCCGTTATAATGTACAGTGCTGAGCAAACTGTTGGCGCTATATAAATCCTGCACTATAATAATAATAATACATCTGTTTCTCAGTGCCTATGAAGTCCACGGTTTCTGTTAACCTCCCTAACGGTATGATTCCTTCCGATTTTTTGTGCTGAAAGCGGTACCATTTTTCGCATGGAAATAGTTTTTTATTGTAGGCTGTAATTTTTAGGAAAATTTCCCCACAAATCATTATCACTCAATTCTGTAAGTGGTTCTGATTTACTATCGCTGTTCTTTAGCCGGTCTAAAAACCCGCTTTTGAGGTAATGGGACGCTTTTTGGACGCCATGGACTTTTCTAAGTTTCCAGGCAGAAAGAACAGACAAAATGCAGGCAGGGCACAGGACAAAGCACTCGGGACAATATGTATGTGAAATGGGATGAAACGGCAATGTTTTACTATTTAAAATTGAAAAAAAAAAAAGACATTTTTTAAATTTCCCGCCGGCGCCCGTACGTCCCGACGTCACGGGGACCGGAACACAGAAGCCGGATGCCGGCATCGGCTGGAGGAGATGGCCAGGGACGCTGCAGGGGACACATCGTGGGAACAAAAGACAAGGTAAGTGCTGCAGGGACCCCCAGAGCAGCGCCGCATGGTAAGCCCGAGTGTAGCTCGGGGTTACCGCTTGTGGTATAAAAATTTTACCCCGATCTACACTCGGGAAAACCGCCAGGGAGGTTAATGTCATTACAGTGGGCAGCACAGTGGCTAAATGGTTAGCACTTCCGCCTGGCAGTTCCAGGGTCATTGGTTTGAATCCCAGCCACAACACCACCTGCCTGGAGTTTGCATGTTCTCCCTGTGCCTGCGTGGGTTTCCTCCGGATACTCTGGTTTCCTCCCACACTCCAAAGACATGCTGGGAGGTTAATTGGCTCCTGTCTAAATTGGCCTTAGTATGTGTATGTATGAATGTAAGTTAGGGACCTTATAGATTGTACGCCCCTTGAGGGTTAGGGACTGATGTGAATGTACAATATATACAGTGGGGCAAAAAAGTATTTAGTCAGCCACCAATTGTGCAAGTTCTCCCACTTAAAAAGATGAGAGAGGCCTGTAATTGGCATCATAGGTAGACCTCAACTATGACAGACAAAATGAGAAAAAAAATCCAGACAATCACATTGCCGATTTGGAAAGAATTTATTTGCAAATTATGGTGGAAAATAAGTATTTGGTCAATATGAAAAGTTCATCTCAATACTTTGTTATATATCCTTTGTTGGCAATGACAGAGGTCAAACGTTTCCTGTAAGTCTTCACAAGGTTGGCACACACTGTTGCTGGTATGTTGGCCCATTCCTCCATGCAAATCTCCTCTACAGCAGTGATGTTTTGGGGCTGTTGCTGGGCAACATGGACTTTCAACTCCCTCCAAAGGTTTTCTATGGGGTTGAGATCTGGAGACTGGCTAGGCCACTCCAGGACCTTGAAATGCTTCTTATGAAGCCACTCCTTCGTTGCCCGGTGGTATGTTTGGGATCATTGTCATGTTGGAAGACCCAGCCATGTTTCATCTTCAATGCCCTTGCTGATGGAAAGGAGGTTTGCACTCAAAATCTCACGATACATGGCCCCATTCATTCTGTCCTGTACATGGATCAGTCGTCCTGGTCCCTTTGTGGAGAAACAGCCCCAAAGCATGATGTTGCCACCCCCATGCTTCACAGTAGGTATGGTGTTCTTTGGATGCAACTCAGCATTCTCTCTCCTCCAAACACGACGAATTGTGTTTCTACCAAACAGTTCTATTTTGGTTTCATCTGACCATATGACATTCTCCCAATCCTCTTCTGGATCATCCAAATGCTCTCTAGCAAACTTCAGACGGGCCCGGACATGTACTGGCTTAAGCAGGGGGACACGGCTG